CAGAAACGAGGAAAATCAAAACTTTAACTTGACAATCTTTGAATTGTCACGGTGTTTCTAACAGGACACTGTCTCCTCAAAGAACACCTCAGTAGATTAAAGTTGAGAAACAACGGCGAGTTGTGTTCTGTGGAGAAACACCAGAACATCTTATGATTGAGTTCACTGAGACAACAACCGTTCGTGCCGTAAACTTTGGTAGCCGTACCATCAGCCGATTTTGTCAAAGCTTTGATTCTGTATGATGTATGATAACTTATTATAACTCAAGAAGGGGGAACACATAATAGATCTGTAAGGTTACGGTGATTAACCCTCCTCCTAAACAGTGTCAGATAATGTCATATAATGACATTATTTATTCACTTCTGATTTTTTCACCACTAGATGAAAAGTCTACAAAATAAAATAGTTATAATCTTTCCAAGAAATGAACCCGTCACAAAGGTATGGACATTATTTTCATTATGGTAATGTTTTGGTAATGAATGGCAATCACGTCTTTGATTTTATTTTCAAAAAAGATCATACATACATTAAGCAGTCAAGGTCTTAACCTATCTCGCACTCGTAAGTCCTGTCTTAAACTGTATGTGTTTGGCCATCCAGTTTCGATCCAAAATCAGATAAATGTTATGTAAGTTGCTTATCACTATGAAACAAAAAGTTTGTTTGATTGTTCATATATTTGATATCTATGAACGATAAAAAACATAAACAGACACAAGGTAAATTCTTAGTTCGTCACTTTTCAAAAGTGGTTTAATCAATTTATTGTTTCTTTAATTTTTATTTGTTCGTTTAAAGTCATATGATATTTGATTTATTAAGTGTTTACAGATTGTCTTATTATACTTATTAAATATAGGTGTGTATAATTAATATATATACATATACTTACACATACTTTTATTGCGCCTTTAGCACAGACTGTGATTGATATTTTCGTTGAAGATTGCTTAAACAGTGAAGAATTTAGGTCATGCACACGAGTGGCAATGTTGCATCTTCTAACTACACAAACTAGGAAGAAATTTTAGATGAACCTGCTGTTCCAATTTTTTTTGGAAATATAAAAACAATTTTAGGGGTTCTCTATAATAATAATTCAAGCCAAAATATTTCTATCATTAATTATATACCTAGTGATTCCTTTTAAACACAAACACAGAATTTAACTGAACATAGTTGTGCATGAAACAACATACCTGGACATACAAGATAATTCTGGAAACTAAAAGACAGGGTTTTCTACAATCATGACTTGAATATAAAAACAAATCTTGCAGTGTACCGAGCAATAATAATCCCCATAAGAGTTATATGGAAGCGAAACCTTGGGCCGTATCGTCGGTACATGAACAAGTTGCAACAGAGACGTCTTCGACAAGTCTTAAGAATCAAATGGTTCCACCATGTGTCAAACATGTCGGTCCCTGAAAAAGCTAGATTTGAGAGCGCTGAAGTCATGATTACTAAATCCCGCTTAAGATGAGCTGGTCACGTATGCAGGATGCAAGACAACCACCTACCGAAATCTCATTTTTACGGTGAGCTTGTAGACGGTGAGAAGAAACCTGGTGGACAAGTCAAAAGGTACAAGAATTAAAAAGTACCAGGAATACGGTTTCATGAAAACTTAAAAGACATAATTAAGCATGCAGAGGACGCAGTGCCACAATGACGCCACAACAGAATGCAATGGAGAAAAATTGCGTGAAACAGGTGCTGAAACCAAACCAAATAAACTCCAACTACCAAAAAATAAAGAGGCAACAAAGTAATGAGAGTTTTGAATTTCCGGACAACGGAAGAGAGATAACACTTATAGGGCTTTTCAATCACAGAGAAGCTCATGAAAGAAAACGCCTTGCGTATATAATATGACAGCGAGTATAATATGACAGTAAGTAGGTAAGTAAGTAAGAATTTGTCTACCATTCTAAACATTTATTTGCCCCCAACTATTTTATAGCAATTCTTACGACTGCTTTTGCAGACCCGCAGTAGTGTTGTGGACCTATGAATGATGAGGTTAGGTTAGGTATAATCATTAATGAGCCAGTCCCTGAGGTTAAGTATGAGATTAGGTATGAGGTTAGGTATAATCATTAATGTACGTATGTTTGTTACTATGTATTTATGCATTAATAGAGATATAAAATTTAAATGAAATAATACCATACTAATCTTAGTGTTTTTAAAAACTCAATTCAACAAAATACTATGTATATATTATGTATTTCAATTTAGAAAAAAATATATAGCTATCTAATATACATATTTATACAGGGTAGTTCACCACATACAACACGGAGTATTGTAGCTAAACGATTAGATTTTTACAAATTGTAAGTTTCAGGTTCGTTAATTTCGGACTATTAGAGCTACAATTTAAATTTAATTTTACAATATACCAAACGTGTCCCAAATAAATAAAAAATATTATAGTTGTATTTTTTAATGGTGTATATTATTCTCTTTTTATCCCTGTATATTATTCTCTTTTTAGATTCTACAATTGAAATAAAGGTAAATTTGATTAAGGTTTATCACACGTAAACATTACCGTTTTTGAAATATTTTCAATGTTATGAAATTGCAGTTAAAAAAAGGCTCTTCTCCAAGGGTATTAAAGTTTTTAATACTAAATATTTATTGAAGTTTATTTGTTGATCAGATATTGTATTGCAATAATAAGCAAAATACTACGGTATACAGAGTGTCTAAAAATTTAAATTAAATAATTACCAGCTTTAAACGGCAATAAATTAATTTAAATAGTATTCTGTATATTTTACGAGAATCAGATGCACAATTTAATTGCCTATCAAATTGTATTATACCATTTTTTACCTATCTCTTCAAGTTTTTGCAGAAAATGTATTTACTTATAATTTAGACCATATTATTTATCACTATACCAATGGAATATTGATATTTTAAATTGTTTTTGATGTAACAAATTTTCAAGTGTACGCAGATACTAATATTATTATTATATTATATAGTTCGCTTATTTCATTAAAACATCAAAAAACTGTTTAAATATTTTTTGTTAAAGAGGACCAATTAATATGATCCCAGTATTCAAACTACATTAATTGACTGTTTACGTTGATTAATAATAATTGCTCCAAATACCTACTAAAAAACTGAAATTTGTATGTATATTAGACAGTATGGTGAAAAGTAATCCCTTATAAATTTTATTTCATTTTTTGACGAATGCTTATTTATAACAACAGAAACGTTCATTTTCATAACTTATTAAAGTAAACGCCACGAATGTTTGGGAGTGATTCATCGCTTGATGAAGTTAGAATCGACACGCTCGCTATCATTTTTACATTAAAAACATAAATTTTTACCGCAGACGTAGGTTTTTAAAGGTCCGGTCTAATCATCTGCCTGCGCTCCTCCTACTTATTCTAAAATGCTAGCGTGATTGACAAAGACGATACTAGGTATATCGCGTTTCTTTGATTGATTCGTTTTTGTGCGTCAGTCCATTGGTGTGCTTGCAGGGCGACCAATGGGGCATTCCATTTTATATTTATAACCAAATATAGGTTTTGACAAGTTAAAAACAACAAATTACGACAGATTATATATTATATTGATTATTATATGACTTGAAACACTACGGCACTGGAATTAAGTTTTATGTGACCTTGAACAGATTAGTTCACATGGTAGCGACCGATGAATCACTCCCAAACATTCGTGGCGTTTACTATATTATATTGATTTCTGAGTCAAATCCACATTTATTTAGGATAATTTATTAATTAAAACAATTAAGTACGAATGTAATTAGCTAATTTTCGGGCGGAAGTAATGGTGGTATATTTAATTGGTATACTCTTTTACAAAAATTTAAATAGTCCTCATTTTGTAAACAAATGGGCTTGCAATATTATTATTTTTACCACCTGTATATTTTGTACATATGTTGCTTTAATCTAAAATGTCAATATTCCATGGGTATAGTGATAAATGAGGTCTAAATTATAAGAAAACGAATTTTTTTACGAAAACTTGAAGAGCTAGGTAAAAAATGGTATAATACAATTTGATAGACAATTAAATTGTGCATCTGACTCACCTAAAATCTACAGACGTGTTCCATTTAAATTAAACAAGTTATTGCCGTTTAAAGCAATTAATTATTTCATATAAATTTGTGGAGACTCTGTATAAGGTAGTATAATTTTTATTATTGCAACACAATATCTGATCAACAAATAATCTTCAGTAAATATTTAGTACTAAAAACTTTGATACCATTGGAGAAATGAAGCTTTAAAAATTTTACTGTAATTACATAAAATTGAAAATATTTAAAAAACGGTAAGGTTTAAGTGTTATAAACCTTAATCAAATTTACCTTTATTTCAATCGTAGAATCTAAAAAGAGAATAATATACAAGGTGTTCCATTAAAAAAATACAACTATAATATTTTTTACTTATTTGGGACACTGTATCTTGTAAAAATATTTTTAAATTGTAGCTCTAATAGTTTTTCAACGAACCCAAAAGTTCCAATTTGTAAAAATCTAATCGTTTAGTTACAATAGTGCGTCGTATGTGGTGAACAACCCTGTATAATCACGCAAATAATAAAACGGTAATTTTTATTTTTTTTAATTGTGTCTAGGCTATATGTCAATTATTCAAATATTTATCGTTCCGATATTTTAACTTTTTTTAAGTTTAATCTACTTATGTATCTAATATCACGAGGTGTCAATCACTCACTATAAAGTACTAGAAGTACTTAATTCTCGAAATAATGATTACAAGCTAATGCATATCTAATATTCACTCAAAGTACCTAACTAATATGAAAACAAATCTTATTCGAGATACTCATTGGAATTTGTATTTTGGATTAACTTTTAATGTAAGTAATCACATAGTGATTAAATGTTATTCGATAATCACGTTATATACTTGAGAAGTATATTAAAAGATTTAAGGTGAAAGGATACTTACCTATAGTGCTTACTACGGTGATTACAAAGAAGAGGGAATGATAGAAATCCCACTTGTAGTCAGGAGGATCTTCACTCATGTTGATTCCTAGGGGTTTACCGCAGTATCCGGATAATTTTTCGAAAAGTTGTTTTTTAGTTGAATAGTTTCCTTGAAAATGTTCTTTTAGTAAATCTGTAAAAATAATGTTTACATTTTTCTCTGTTATAACACGAGCTTAAAATAAAAAACATTCAAATTTCCAAATAATTTAAACTTCAATAGATTTTAGTTCGGTGGATCAATTTTTAGCAATTTGAAGCATTTATTATTTGATTTTCTAGACTCTCCAAATTAAACCAAAATTGATATTTTAAGGAAAGTTTGAAACGCCCCACAGTGGGGTATTTGACACAGATAGTCGATCGAAATTTTTTTATGTAGACCTTATATAAATTATTGCTATTTTCAATTAAAGAGGAAATAGTATGAACAAAATAAAGGATAATTCGTCGATTCTAAAAAAAGAAAGAAAAATCACTGTTCCAGTGTTTCCACGGTCAATGCCACTAATGCCAGTAGTAACATCGCAACTAATACTACTAATGCTACGACTGATCGGCGAGCAATGCCCATACCAGTAAAGTCGCTACTAATGCCAAATTGTGCTATACTGCTAATGGCACTAATGCGATCGCTTTGTACACAACAATGCCATCGCGGTTCACACCTCGCATTAGTATATCACTGATTGGCAAATTAGAGGAAACCAAGAATGTTTTTCTCATTTTATCAGCAAAGTCGCAAAAAGTCGCAGTATTTTATTTTACTGTATGAAATGTTTACTAAGTAAGACGTATATAGACAATATGCTGAATTCTTCGAAATGCGCAACTAAATCTCGAAGTATAATAAAAATGTCACAAATTTAATCAAATTTTCTGAACGCCTAACTTTTAGTTGCAAAAAAAATCGTTAGTATATAGAATATCAAAATAAATATTACGTTTTTGTAGAATACATACCTGCAGCTTGCTGAGCCATTTTCAATCAAAACAATAATATAAACGTAAAAAGAGCACAAGAACAAAAACAATTTATAATTTTAAACATAAAATTTAGCCATTTACCTCTTATCTGTGAGAAGTAACAACTTTGACGTTTCGTTGAAACAAATGAATGCAACTAAACACACCCATAGCAACGCCATTCATGGCAGACATGATTTAACTTATCATTTATCTTTTTTTGGGAAATCTTAAACACATTTGCTTTTTCGAATTTCGATCACCTTTTTCATGCTAATACCCCACCGTGCGCCCTGTGAAATGGCTTAACAAAGTAAATCATCAAAGTGTATTTATTCTCAATACTTGTTTTTTTGGTTCATCTCAAAAGCCTTATTTTTATTGAAAATATTCGCTATTCCATTTTAGCATTTTAAAAGCACGCCTTTGATTTTGGTTCTCATGAACACATCTATAAAATAGTTATTGGTTTTGTAATCTCACCAATCTTAATCATGTCTGAACTCCAGAAGTTGCATAGATAAATGAAACAAGTTTAGATTGGAAAGTGCCCATAAGGACAATGTAAACACCATTTGGCGCTATCCTTGCAACGGTCGCGACCCAAAACTTTTGAAAATTTCGGAGCAGTTCGGCTTTTTCCGGAATTATATTGCCAAATATTGTTTATTCAAGTTTATTATTATTTTCGTCTAATTTTATAAATAAAAGACAGTGTGTTGCATACAAGAAACTTTATTTTATATAAGGACGCATGTATGAAATACCTATGAAACATTGGAAACCGACGTTATGCCACGATCCACGATGGTTTTTGCAGTTCACAGTTCACAGCACAGCTTTTTAAGTTTTTAATGCCACTTTTTTACAATTATCACCGGTTGGAGTAAATAAAACTTGAATTAAACTCACAAGATAGCAATTATTACTTTGAAAATAGACACTATAAACGCTTTTCGGAATTTCTTTAATGAGAGCGGTTTAGATTTTGAAAGATTATTATGATTTTTGAAGATTCTGACTTTGACAAGAGAAAATTATTTCTGTTTTTGTTTGCCGTTGTTCTTAGCGACCGCTATAGCAGCGCCAGATCGCGTTATACTCTGTTTTTTTTTCTCAGGTAAGATTTAGACAGACGATGACAGAAGAAAAGCAGATGACGTCCCATACCAATCTATTTATTTTACTAAAAAAGTTTCTAATAATTTTTAAGTTATCTATGGATGGGTTTAAATATAAATCCGTCATACGTCGTGTCTTGTTGTTTTTAACCAGTTTTATTGGTTTATTTAAAAAATGACAGATCGTATTTCAATTTTATTGGTTTGACGGAACGATGAACGACAAACGGACGCCGATGCGTATGAACTCGCCTTTAGATTTTTGTCATTTTGTCATTTTTTTGTCAAAGTCTTGCCAAATTATAGGTTATAATTTTGTGTCAACTTTTGTTAAATACCCTGCGTTTTGGAAGATGATGCATTTTGATTCGTATTATTACGTGTGTTTTGTGTCTTTTGAAGTCAAGTGGAGGAAAAATCGAGTGAAAATTAACTGTAGACCCAGAGCACAGTTTATGGTTAATACTCGCTGCCCAGGCAGAAAGTCTTATACACCAATGAAGTTGCCATCGATAAAGTTTGTATACCATTTCGTCGTAGATAAGTGCATCTCGTATATGGTAGAAGGATCAAACTAAACACATACTAAAAACTGGAGTAGCTGTAAAATATCGACATCACACGATAGGTAAATAATGGATTTTAGTACTGCAGAAAAACAATGTCAAAAGGTACTGGTTTAAAAAAATTAAGATTAAAATTAATTAATCAACCTTTAAGGTATAAAATTTGGTAGGTGTTATTATTAATAAAATAGTTTGTTTTATTTACCTATGTTGTTTTATTTATTCCTGTGGAATATTACAAATTTGTATTTGTACATAAGTTGTATTGATAAATATAATCATAAATGCGGGTAGTTTCATAAAGCTTGAAAGTAAATAATAGTTCTTTTTTATGATTTTTTTGGTATGTAGTGTCTTGTTCTTGTTTGTTTTGTATTAACACATACCGTTTTTATTAAATAAAATAACTCGATTACATTTTTTCAGTTTTATACACTTTTTTCACAATATTTTGAAGTAATCACTTGTCATCTTGTCAATCAAATTTTAAATATATCGCTATGCGTTCCAGTTGTACCAACTTATTTCTTTGTAAAATAAAATAAACTACTTTGAAATTAAAATGACAGACATATCTATCACTGTCAAGGATCTTCTCGTTGGACAGACTATAACAGTCGCGACCCAAAATAATTTCGCGACCTAAAATTTTTACGGGCTTTCCAATCTAAACTTGTTGCATTTATCTATGAGAAGTTGTTATCTCCACAATGTCCAATTAAGGCAACAAGAGCCTATGCAACTTCTGGACTTAAAACAAGAGACATCTGTCAACAAACCACCACTGTCAACAGTGTCAAGTTATAATAGTTTAATTTTTGTATTGATGTAGATCCAGTGTAGATCAAAGAAAATATATATCACAGCACTTCATGAAATCAGACAGGCAGACACAAACACAGACAAAAATTTTCAAAATATCTTGTCCAGGTAAACAAAGATATTGTGCAAATAACCATATATTACCTTGTAAAAAGGTTTTTATTTTGAAATCACAGCAAACACTTTATTTCAAAGTGTAGATTTGAAGATAAGAAACTAATTAGTGATGTGATAACTGTATATTGAGTTGGTGAAATACTGAATAGAAAAAAATAATTATTTTGTCGTGAAACTTTGCCGCTGAACTAGAAAACAAAAAAAATGTGAAATGCTATGCTATATTAGAATAATATTTTTTGGTATTACTTCTTAACGATGGACTTACACGACGAAAAAATTCTGTAGGTAATAAAATGTTCTGAATAGAATTCTACAATGCTCTCGGTTTTATTGCTGCGTAGTAAGGTATCTGGGGCATATTTATTTTTGCCATTATATTCGAAGTAACGATGTGCTCTAAAGATCTATTCAACTGCAGTTCGAAATGATTTGCTAAACATGTTTTCGAAAACATATTATTAAAATCATTATTATATATATTCAGTTTCCCTACATCACTCAGATTTTATAAAAGTCTGTATAGTAAATTATATTAGAAGAAAACACTACATTTTATTATTTTTCTTAAATATTAGATGCTGTTACATACGTAATAAAAATATATTTTAATCAGTAGTGCAATTTTATAGAAAATGCATAATACATGGTGGTCCCAACTGTATTCCGAAAACTTTGACAGCATATTCTGCAGATAAAAATAAGTAAAAAAGTTCCTAAAATGCTTAGTTTCGGAGATACAGGGCGTAGAAGTTTAATTTTTATGTCGATTTTTTTTCCAATATTTTTTGAAGTAACGTCAATATTTGGATGAAAATTGATGTTTTACGACGTTTTTTTAAGGTCTCTTGGTAAAAATCGCTACGATTAATGGTTCTCGAAATATTTGGAATAGAAATGATCAATACCTGTCATCAATGACATAAATTAAACATGTTGACTAAATAGTTATTGGACTGAAATCATAAATTTGAAATGTTTTGTGCCAAAAGTTTAACAGAAAATGTTTTATCATTTTTTCAAAAAAAAATTATGATAAAATTTAAAAAAAAAATAAAAAGTTCCCAAATTTATCATTTCATTCAAATAACTATCTACTCAACACATATGTTTATTTTTTGTCAATAATGACATGTATTGACTATTTGTGACTTTTTGTCACTAATTTTTTTTATTATTCGTAGCAATTTTTACCAAGAGACTTTTTTTACGTAAAAAATCACAAAAATGTATACAGGATGGTCCGAACTGTATTCCGGAAACTTCGGCAGCATATTCTGCAGATAAAAATAAGTAAAAAAGTTCGTGTAAATGTATGTCCTAAAATGCTTAGTTTCGGAGATACAGGGTGTAGAAGTTTCATTTTTATTTCGATTTTTTCTAAATAATTTCTGAAATAACTAGTCTAGGAGTTTTTTTAAAACGATGACAAATCAATTGAATACGTATATCAATCCTGATTTAGGTCATATATTAACATACCAAATCTTGTTTCTTTATCTGAAAAGATAAAAAAGTTATAGGGGTGAATCGCATTAAAA